CATTTATATTTTTTTTTGTAAAATTTTTGAGACAATTTTCACTCCGAAATTTTTTTTTAAACAAAGGGTCATAAAAATAACAATGATAAAATATTTTTTTTTGATATTTGGGACACCCAAAAATAAAAAAGTTTCGGTATTATCAAGAATCACACGGTGATTAAAATACAATTAGCGACCTCCAAGAAGACAGAGCCTGGACATAACACCCCGGTAGATACGCCCGGCGCTCGAGCGCGTCTAAAGTCCAAAATGCAATAACACGTACCAGGTAAAGGTGAATTCTCTGGCGTGTGGATGACACCCACACGCGTTCTTCGCTCGAGTATTTTTTACACTTATATTTAACACTGAAGATGACTTGCCAGTTGAGAGTCTTTTCTCCGGAGCTGACCGTCCATAAAGTGTAATAAAACATCTCCTATCCCACCGGGTACGGGAACGGGAACGGCAAATGGCATTTAAACCGCGAGATCAATCGGAACCCATCAGATCTACAACCGTCCGCATTATGTTTCTATCGGTCACTTTCACGGTCAAAATTAAACCGGTGTCGTAAAAAACAAAAATTAAATTAACCCCGAAAAAATGAGTAATTGAAAATCTTTTCATTTAGACAATTCGTTACACGGATTAACTGTGACTCTCGAAAATTTTATTTTACATTTCGCAAATTTCAACCAGATCGATTTTTATACTATAAAAAAAAAAAAAATAAAAATAAGAAGTAGATTATTTTATTATTAGATTCTCCGCAGACAAGAGTTATTAATTGTGTGTATAAGATCTCGTGCGACCTCTAACTTGTTTTTGAGATTGCGTGACCAATTGTATACACTGTTAGCCATGTTAATGTAACGCAATCGGTAATTCACCTTTTTTATTTATAGAATACTATATGTTATCTGCTCTATCCATTACATTTCACAAACTACTTAAATTATCAGTACAAGTGACTAAATAAATACTGCTAGACTGAAATTTTGGTAATTTAACTTAACTCTGTTGAGTTTAATTTATTTTATTTATACTTAATTTGAGTTACTGATGCATGAAAAATTTTTTTCTCAATTAACACTAATTGGATGCTCGAAAAAAAATATTAAAAGAAGTAAATATTATTTCTTTTTTTTAGGAAATATTCACGCGAAAAAAATCGACGAACCGAGAATAATTTTTAGTTAAAAAATTATTTTCAAGATAATTTTAACTTTATAACATTTAAAAACAATTTCTTTTAATAAAGTTAAGTAATGTTTTTTAAAATTCGAAAATTCATAAATTTTTGGTGAAATCAAGTCAATATATTAATAAAAAAAAATAATTATTAAAAAGAAAAAATTTTGGAGCAAGAAAATAATTATACAAAATTTTTTTGACTTAAAAATCAAGTTAAAAAATTTTGAAAATTAAAATTCAATTTTTTTTTTTAAGTTCAGTATCATAACTTAGAATTAAAAATTTTTTTAAAGAAAATTTTTATCAGTGTCCTCATTACAAAACATATTAAAACTCCCACAAAAATTTTAAACTTTCTCTTCCCAAAAAATTTTCAATTTTTCTAATTCAGAACTTTCAATAAATATTCATCAAACTTAACTAACTTATTGTCAAAAAAAGAAACCTCTATTTCCCTAAACACTTAATATAATACCCAATTTTATAGACATATTACTCAAAAATTTCTATTTCAGATTGATTTGACTCGTAAATAATAAAATTCCCCATAAATAACAAGATTCTCAACAACATAGCTTAATTATATCATAACAATAATATCAATAATCATCATAAAAAAATAAAAACTATTTATAATCTAAAATCTAACGGACGAAATAAAGATAAATAGCCGGTTTTGTACTTGAACAATAACCGATTTATAATCGTTTAGCGTTTTCTTACAAGTATACCGATAATGCGTGAGAGCTGTCAGTGCAATAATAGTATTCAATAAGAATATTTCGGCACATATGTACTCTTGTATCACCGAGAAAGCGTCGAATTTTTTTTGTAACACTTCCCGTCATCGAATACACCCGTCAAAAGTCTATAATATTATATTATATTACATTACATTATATCCAGCACCGTGACAAGGATATATAGTCGGCTAAATATATGTTATAATATAAATATAAATATAAAAAAATAATACCAATATTAATATAATACAGAGATGTTTACTTGTGTGGATTAATCCTCTAATATGTATTAGTTCTGGGACATAGATGTACATATATTTATTTTAATACTTTTTTCTATATATCTGTTATGTGGATGTTGGAGATGATGATCAACCTGAGCGGGCAGTATCATACACGGAAGAAGTGGGCTCTGGGCTTACCAAACAAATTATATGCGCTCGAACTAATGATGATTTGTTTAACTTTGCGGCTGGCTTCAAAGCTGACGACCGACCGACGGAGGCGTATACAATATAATATACCTATGCCTATATTATATTATATATTATATTATATACATATATAATCCATGAGTGGGAAGAAAAAGGTGATCTGAGATATAAAAGAAATAATCGAGTGTAAAAGGGAAATAAAAAGAAGAAAAGAAGAAAAGGTGACTAGTACTAAACTAATATATGATATATTTATATGGGTGATTCTCTGTAAGGATGTTTTTTGCTGTCCCAGGCATTTTTTTTTATTAGATAAATTGTTATTTTGTTACTAAAAAAAATTTATTACGAAAGTAAAAAAATATTTCTATTTGGAGCATTGAAAACTAAAATGAAATAAATTTTGGTTTTTTTGCTATAAATTCGTAAACCACCGTAATATCAGTCCCCTGGGCTGTCCCATTCCTCAAATTAAAACTTTAAGATTAAATTTTAAGTGATTCGTCCACAATATATAATTTTAAACCAAAGTTTGTCCCAGGCATTTTTAAGATCAGTCCCCTGCCAGAAGTTCAAAGCCAAAAAAAAAAATCCAGCGTGTTATTTCACCTTTTGTAAGGTTTATAAGGATCTAACTAGCCTTGAGTTAATAACCATAGGGCTGTTAGCGCTTTATCGCCATTTTATTTAGTGTTAAAGCACCGTTTGTGCTGGAAATATGTGTCTGGGCCACTTCAAAACTCAGTCCCCTGGCAGCTATTTTTATTTATAAAATTGGATCCATAAGTCTTAATATTATTCTAATTAATGTAAACATTCATGGAGAACTTGAAAAGTTCAATGCATTGAAATAGTTTGCTTGATTTTTCTTAATTTGCTCAAAAAAATCAGTCCCCTGTCATATTATATGGCAGAAGATACACAAATATCGAAAAAGCAAAAATTAATTCAGCTGTTTATTTATTATAATAAAGCTGATAGTTTTGTAGCCCTTGTTAATTTTTTTTCTAATAAAATCAAAAATAATTTAGTCGGACAATTTTGTACAGATTTAAGACGCCCTTACAGAGAATCACCCATATATATGTTGGAAATAAAAGCCAGGATCTAAACTTTACTCTACTCTGTAGCTGGTCAGTTTGATTGAACCTGCTATGAGAAGAGCTAATACAACTATGAGAATATAGCAGAAGTAAAGTTAGATCGCTGAAGTAAAGCTGAAAAGGGTCGCTCCGATCAACAATGACCCTCTTGGGTTCGGAATGATCATTCCCGGACTGGTATGGGGCCAATCTACACTACAATGACTTAAAAAAAATATATATATATATGTGTGTAGTATATATTATATATAATATATAATAACTGAAGCGCGGTTTAAAAGTCTTAATGACAGTAAATATTATTCATTCGGTTTTTTATTTGGAGATTATTAATGCCTCTGCTTTTAGTACATATTGATAAATAAATAAATAAAAAACTTTAATTTATATTTATATATAATTTATGTATAATGTTTATATATATAGATATATACATATATGCTGTGGATATATGTATATGATATCTGTACAATAATTTATTAATTCGAATATTATTTGAGTCGCTACATTTTACAAATATTATCTTTTTTTTTTATTTTATTATTTCGCGTGATACAATAAATTTATAAATACTGCAAAAACAAATAAGTCAAAATATTTATTTATTTACTCAAGTCTTTTGGTTTATTTTGTTTATTTATTTTCCGCTTTACTTTACGATTATATGTTTTATTTATTATTATTAATATTTATATATGTCTAGATTTATTTATTACTTTTTTTTAAATTTTGAGTCATTTATTTTTACAGGAGTCATTTATTATTATTTATAATTTTTTGATACTAAGAGAAAAAAAATTTTAATTTCATAAATAATTTTTTTAGTTATTAATAATAATAATAATAATAATTTTTTAATTTAATACTTCTTCAATAAAAAATATTAATTTTTTTATAAGTTAAAATATTGTTTTAAAAAATTTCTCATAATTAAATAATCAAAAATTTTATAAAAAAAAAAAAATTTTTCCTGCAAGCTTATCACAAAAAAAATTTTTCTCTCAGTGCGTATCACAAAAAGATAGCCTACAAAATTCACAGAAAAGATAAAACAAAAGTTTACAACCAAGTATCACGGAAATTACAAAATATCGTCAACTTCCTACTAGATCCAGAGATTATAGTCTTATTATTCGTTTTTCCCCAGTACTTTCATTACAATTCTCGTCCATACATGCATACATAATATAATATAAGTATCCAACATATATAATAACTAGAACGTCTATAACGACGACGACGACGACAATAACTCTGAGCAACACGTTTTACCATTTAAAATATTCAGTGTAGCACGTTTATAATCATCACAGCATTCTCTGGTACACACTGAGCGCATAACCAGATAACTAATCTACTAACATAACATATCATAACATAACATAATAATAACAGTAGTATCATTACAGAATTATATATACATTACATTGTACGGAGTATGTTTAGTTAGGATATAGGCACTTTGCCCGCGAGTCTCTTATCGATCCCTCCCACAGCAAACAACTCAACTTACATCAACCACCTTTTCTCAATACAAGACTCTAACTATCCAGAAAAAAATCCACACAATTAATCCAATTATTTTCTTCAAGTGGCAGCTCCAAAAGGCGCCCTACCAGGATGCTCAGCAACATTGATAGGATAACCAGCATAAAGCGGCCTCGGAATAAGCAGCCCGTTTTTGGTATTGCTTATCCTAACAGAAGAGTCACTATTGCTACTATTACTATGATTACTAACACTACTGCTACTGCTACAATTGTCCTTAATAGAAACCTTGTCGTCCTCATCGGGCGCAATGATATTCTCAATCGTAAAAGGTTTTTTGGTTTTTTTAAGACGACTTTGACTCATCGATTTGCTAGAATTCGATACCGGAATCACAGTCGCTTCGAGACTAGGTGACGTCTGAGGTGTCCGCTGGTCAATCCCGAGGACCACGTCGGTTCCGTCGGCATAGCTGGGCGACAGCCTTGGAGAAGAGTAAATTTTCGGGGAATGAGTGTGGGAATAGCTTTTGCAGTTTTCCTCCTCGTAGACTCTGTCTCTGTAGATTCCTCCGGAAAAACTGCGGTCTCTAAAGCCCAGGTCCTCCCGAGGGTCACTCATAAGAGGTTGTCTGCTGCTTGACTGAAGGTAGCTCGGCAGGGGACCCATATAAGGCCCGTTGAACCCCGAAAAAGCCCAATTTCCAGTTTGGAGGAGAGTTGTCGCGTCGTATGAGCGATTTACTTCTCCGACTTCGGACAATCGTTGGCGAGTTTCCGGGGAGAGCAAGTAATATCCCGGGGGAGGTGCTACGGGGAGCGAATTCGCAGAGGCTGGCTCGGGCTGGGGTGTTTCGAGCCCATAACCTGTTGCGGAGGATGAAGCCATCATTCTTCTTTCCTGAAGCTCCCAGCGGAGAAGATCTTCTCGCAGGCGGTGTAGGTTCGCGGCGTTCAAGCTCCCGGAGCTGGAGGATGCTGGAACTCCGGATATCGGCTCCGCGGCTCCGTGGGCTGGTGGAGGCATTGCTGAAGCCAGCGCTTGCAGCTCGGTTTTTAGAAGTTCTTTATCGGGTTTGTGAAGTTTGAAGCGCTTTCTTCGCCGGAGGAGAGACCCGTTTTCGAACATCGAGAGCGCTGCTGGGTGCAGTGCCCAGTAGGCTCCTTTGCCCGGTCGGTGTGGACCCCGAGGCACCTGCAATTATTTGTTTGTTAATTATTATAAGATTTATGAGGAGTTTGGGTGTTGGAGATTATTTTATATTACGATTGTATTACTGGGCTCTGTTTTGTTAAGCATATTTTTTTATTGTAATCGCAGACTTGTTTATATATTTACAGATAATAATTTTTTATTTGAATGATATTTGTCAATTTGTGTATTATTTAAGTGACACATGTGTCTGCGGTGATGTATGCACAGCTGAAGATAAAATAAATTATTCTTTTTGTTATTGTTAATATGGAATTTAATTTGGATTATTGGGCTTTTATATTTTATGCTATTTTTTTGTTTTGAATTAACACTGTTTTGTTAAAAGTAATTAATCTCAGTCTCTGCTGCTGCCATTTTTGACTTTATTTTAATTTATTTAAATTCTAAAGAGAGTATGAAAATTTATTTTATTTATCGACGCGGAATTTGAAGTGATTTTTTAATGGGTTAGGGTTGAAAGCTGACTTGATATTTTTAAGAGGAAAAATATTGAAATAAATATAATTTATTTATTGGAGAATTTTTCTATTTGAATTAAAATTATCAAATTTTTTGGAATCATTTTTTTTTTATTAAAGTTTTTTTTCAATTAAAATTATTAAATTTTCTGACAAAGATAAAAATGTGTAATAAAAAAAGATTCATGCTACTTCTTTCAAAAAATTTCATTTATCATTTCCATTTTTTTTTCAACCCTAATTTTATATTTTATTGAATTTTTATTTGATGTAAAAAATTATTCATTACTTCTCTATTAATAAATTAAATTAATTTTATATAGGAGAAATAATTTTGATCAAAAAATTTATTATAAAGAATTTTTTGGTCTTGAATCAAGTAAAAAAATTTTTGCACCAAAAAATTGTTCTTATTTTAAGGCAAAAAATTCTACGAAATAATTTTAATTCAAGACTTTTTAAAAGAAAATTATTTTAACGAATTTTAATATCTTGAATCAATTCTAAATTTTTCAACCAAGGATTCTAAAAAATGTAGTCAAAAATATTTTCTCTTGAATCAAGTTAATTTTTCCATGAGGGTAAATAATTTAGTGACTCGATCAGTGTTACTCGTTACATATCAAATACACACCGGAGATTTATAAAAATAATAATGAATAATTTAACAAGGTGGCTGAGATAATATTTTCGATCGACAGAGATTATTATAGAGAAAGGTTGATTTAGCAATATTCACACCGTGAACGGTGTACCGCCGACACACACAGATATAAATCATACAACGTTCAATAAATATCTCTGTTTAAAATAAAAATGCCTGCGGTCACCCACGTACTCAAGAACCAACCGATTTACGATCTCTAAAACGTCTATCCATATACATACCTATACACATACGTAAACTCTGTTTACCACATATGGCCCGTATACACACAAGCTTCTAATGTATCTTTGAAAGGCAATTGCCACTGAATATTAACCATTAAAACATCAATATTACAGAACTAATAATTTCAGTATTAACACAAATAAATAACACTTGCCAATTGAATTAATTATTTCCTCATAATCTCTTTGCTTTAATTATCATTTACAACCAATATTAATATTAATAAAACACTTTGTACGGGTTAATTTATAGCAAATAAATTCTTAACTTTTTCTGTAGTTGCATTTGCGCGTAAATAAATTACTTCGAACGCGTAACTAATTTTCCCGCGATACCATCTTCAAGCAACTTGTTAATTCAATTATTCAACAATACTATATTTCATATCTTTAAAATTAAACAAAAAAAATCCCACACTGATAAAAGAATTAACTTGACTCAAGAGCCAAAAATACTATTTTTAAGAAAATAATTTTCTTGAGTCAAGAGAATTAATTTTTAAGACAAGAAAAATTTACTTAAATCAAGAATAATTTCTTGACTAAAGAATTTATTCTATTGACTCAAAAAAATCATTTTCTTCAAAATAGTATTTTTGGTTCAAAATTTTGGCTCATGAGTCAAGTTAATTTTTTTATAAGTGCACATATGTTTCCTAATTTTGAGCCTTCGGCAACCAATTTCAACTTTTGTATTAAAAATTCTTGCTCCTATTTAAATTCTTCTAACTTTAAATTTCCACCGATCTAAAGTATCTTTCTGGCATTTTAGATAATTACAACCTCGCCTAGAGTTTACATATGTGTGCTTGTTATGTATATTAAATATAATATATGATAAAATCGACATTTAGACTCTGAAATAGGTGCGAAAATATAAACTCGATTGGCAGGTGCGAAACAGATGGTCAAAAGAGTATAATGATATGATTGCCGACGGACCGAATTCACACCTTGCCATATATACTCTGTCTAAATTATTTAATTTTTAAATAAATCACCGGCTAATTAGAAGAATGATATTTAGCTCTGCACCGAACCGCCTTTTCTTTAATTCTCCCATTCACACTTATGCATTATTAATAAAAGAAGCTATTACGGCAATTAAACCCAGGAAACGCCGGTGATAAATACATCTAGCGCAATAATACAATGTTAATATAAAATATTTATTTATTTATTTATTAATATATTATTAATTAAACAAAAACTTACCTTGATAAAACAATCATTGAAGGACAAATTGTGTCTCAAAGAATTTTGCCATCTTCTTGTGTCTTTGCGGTAGTACGGAAATCTATCGGCAATAAACTTGTAAATTTCCGCTAGGGGTAACATTTTGTCGCGAGATGACCAGATTGCCATTGCTGTTAGCGATATGTACGAGTAGGGTGGCTTTTGGTCCCCATAAGTATCTCGCGACGGTCGAGGCATTATTTAATTAATATTTTTTTCCACTTTAGCAGTTTAATTATTTAGCAACAGCTGGATAAAATCATTTATTTTATCAAGAGTAATTCACATTATTCACTGTTGATATTTTATTATTATTAATAATAATAATTAATTATTAAAAACAATGCACAGTGGTATCCAGTATTAATAAATGCACTTGAAATAAATTAATAAAAATGTCACTGCACTTAAATTAATTAATAAAATTAATCACAGTACACGCGCGCTTTTAATTATCAATAATGTAATTGTTTTAAACAACGCGTACTTGGGATTAAGAGCTTGAAGGTAGAACATGGAATGATGATCGTTATAAGAATCAACAAATATACAGCTCCCACGTTCGGAGCTACTAAAACACTGCCGGTTTGGTATCCCCACACCCCCGCTGTTTGAATGTTCGCGGACTTGAGGCAGTGCGCGCGCAGTCTGATCTGAGGGATCTGACTGGCTGGGCATTGGTTGGAGTAAACGCGACCCAGGGTGAGCTCCGGGAATGTAATTACCTGGTTTGTTTGCTGTCTACCAATCGCTCGCTGGCTCATGGAGAACAGGACAACCTACTAAAGTTAGAGGGGCTCTTCTCGAGTGTGCGTACTTGTTTACTGTCCGTGAGATGATATCGGTTGTTTCAACCCCTGGTCTTTCTTTCAATTATACCTTGTGTTGGATTTACCGAGGCGGAGCTTTTTACTCCGCCTCACTCGCTAAAGATCCAACTTGGGTATTTTAGACCACGAATTGTTTATTTAAAAAAATTTTTATGGTCGGAACTAATTTTTTTATTAAAACTTTACTAATTATTTCTTCTTGCTTTTTTTTTTTAGAAGTTTTATTTTTTTTAGAGAAAAAAAATGTATTAAAAACTGATGAGTCTTTTTACAATTAAAATCAATGATAATAATTGTTTTTAAAGAAGCATTTTATTTATCTCAATAGAATCGTAGCTTTTACACCCATTCTTTCGAGTACATATTCAGGCATACAAAATACGGGGTTGATTGGCTTGACTCGTGGATCGGCTTCTAAAAGCGAAATGGCTCCTAGACCGAACAAAGTGTGGAATGGATCGACCATGTCGCCGGGACGATCGCTAAATCCACCGGTTTCGGTGTCTTGACAAGCTAAGATGAACTCGACCTTAAGTATTGAATGAAATATTGAAATTAATAAGTTACGATTTTGTGAAAATTAACTATGACAATTGTTATGAAAATTTTTCAGTTAAATACCAGCTTGTTCTTATCAATCCAGTGCAATCGGCCGAGAATCGTTAAAGAAGATAAGACCCACCAGGAGTAACAGACATCTGGTAACTTCTCGGGCCGACCGTTCAAGCCACCGGATGGTAACTGTCGCTCACAGAGCCACCAGCCTAGTCTATCGACATCCACCAAGTCGAGGCGATCTACAAAAGGTATTTGTATGATTTATAAATTTTTTTAGTTATCGTATCAACAATTAAAAAAAAAATTGTTTCAATTATTTCAGATGAACTGAGCTATAAATTCTTGAAATAAATATTGTATTGAAATATTTAATATTTGTTCAGTAAATAATTACCGGTAATTGATAGAAATCCTAAGCAACAATAAATTAATCCAGCATGACTTTCAGAACCTGGCTTGGAACCAAATCCACCATCAAAGTTCATGCAACTTTCGACAAATTCTACTGCTTTTTCTACGTCAATAGCGTCTAGTTGTCCCTGTAATAAAAAATGAATAATTATTAATTTTTAAAGATATAAGCTCATTCCGATGTTACATTCATCAAGACCTTTCATTTGAGTACCCACATCAATTTTTCATATATTTATATATATATTATATATATTTGTATATATGAAAAATATATCAAAATGCATGTGGGTACTCAAATGAAAGCTCTTGATGAGTGTAACATCGAGATGAGCTTATATCTTTAAAAATGTCAATATTTAAAAAAGTACAGTGCAATTTAACAAAAGTCATTTTTCAATGAACCAAAATTTTATTTATTTATGGTTCATAAGTGACGGAAGTCACATAGTGACTATAAGGTTGCTAGAATATAAATTAAGATAGAAAGAGAATTAAATTTACCAGCAAAGCCAAAGTAGCAACAGCACAAAACGAGAACCTGGTGTCTATCTCGCCCCAGATATCACCAGCAAAGCTTCCATCTGGTTGCTGGCGTTCTTTTACATACTTGACAACTTTCTCAGTGTCAATTACATCTAGCGCGTTGTACATGCTTAGAATCTGTATGGCGCTCAAGGTGTAGAGCAGGTGAGGGTCGTGCTTTATGCTGGGACCAATTCCACCGCACTCGTGCTGGCACTGTTTTATAAAATCGAATATTTCGGCTTTGTCCATGTCTTCTAGACGACCTACTAGGTCCAGGGCTGTCAGACCCCAGTAGACTCCTGACATTCTTAAATATTCAGTCATGACGTATGTCTGGAATTTTTACAAAATTAATTTTAAGTAGAAAAAATTTTATAATTAAAATTAAAAAATAATTACATAGTCGTCCTTGTCAGCGCTGTATGATATGATGTAATTAGCGTGCATGTCTACGAGCAGCGGTGGAATTTCTTTTGGTAATACTACATCTTTTTTTGGTACTGCCTGCAATAGAAAAATTGTATGAGTCATTTATTTAATTTTTTTTTGACATTTCTTTAAAAAAATAATTGCAAAAATTATAAATGTAATAATTTATATTAATTTAACTTACCATTTTGGTAATTATATATTATATTTATATATAATTTAAATATTAAATAATTATTTAGTAGGTTTAACCTCAATTTTTATACACTTTCACTTTAATCACTTACAAAATGTTAAAATAATAATAAAAAATAAATTTATCAAAGAAATAAAATGATAATCTGATAAATATACAAAAAATAATTAATTACACTTATTTAAAATATATTACAAGTGGACAGATAGATATATTTGTTTATTTGAATAAATTATATATTTTTTTTACTACAGTCGAGTGAGTGCAGAGTATACCTAATTGCGCAGTGCCTTAGCGCGAAAAAAGAATATTTAAAAAACTAGTGTATTTTTTATTAAATTTATAAATTATTTATGGAGTTAAGTTTCTTATATTTATTTATTTTTAAATAATTATATTTAATTGCTTATTAAAGATGATAACAATTAATTTTTAATAATAATTTATTTTAATTTCAATAAATAAAAAATATTGATTTTAAAAATTCCCGCTTTTTTATCAGAAAAATGGCGCGCGCAAACAAATCGCATTCGAATATTTCGCGCCTGCGCAAAATTACCTCAAGAAAGCAGCCATTGTTAAAAACAAATTTATGATAACCATAACCACGTTTTCCGGCATTTACAATTTTTCAAGGGTTCTATAGAGTAGTAAGCCCTTAATAAAAATTTTTTTCAAAAGAAAAAAAAAGTTTAGAAGATAAAAAACATATGGTTAATTAATAACCAACAAAAATATCTTGATAATATTAAAAGCCGATTGTTTATTAATAAAATGGCGAGCACGGGTTGTTCTGCTTTTTCTCCTGATAACCAACTTTGGGCAAATTGTGGCCGAGATGGAAAATTAAAAATATGGGAAACTCGCACAGGTAAATTAAAGCAAGACTACGTTCCAAATTTACATTTATCTTCCGGGTGCAGTGTTTTGGAGTGGATCACCGTCAGTCAACAATCAAACACGGTAAGCCATGTGCTCATATTTATTTTTTTTATTTCCTCTGTATTTACTAAAAATTTAATTATTTAGCAAATTGCTAAAATTATTTTATTTATGACACTTGAAATAATTGATCAAATTTATAAAAATGTCGTTTAAATACTGAGAAACTTTTTTATAAAATTAATATAAATTTTTTGAGGTTATGTCAAGTAACGTGTATGAATTTTTTAGCCATCACCATGGATGAAGCGCAAGAGAAAATCAATGTCCATAGTAGAGGACTCGGAGCAAAGACAGCTGATAGCTATGGGCACGGTTGATGGCAAGGTCATCATTTATAATCCATCTGCGGGGTCTCCGGAGAAAATACTCGAAAGGGGACACTCAGCAGCGGTGACTGCTATCACTTGGTCCTCCGTGGGGCTTTTTACCGCTGGCGATGACGACCTGATTGTCGAGTGGAACCTCCAGGACGGAGGAGTCAAATCCACGTGGAAGTCAGGGCAAAATAGAATCAACTCGCTTGTTATTTCCGCAGATGGACAGTATCTGGTTGCGGGTGAAAGGCTCATTAGATGCTGGAGTTTGGAAACTAAAAAAGTTGTGGGAACTTTTACTGGACATGTCAATCCAGTTATTTTCCTCAGATCTGTACAAGTTGGGAATAATAATTATGTTATCAGCGGGGCTAATGGTGACTCTTATCTTTGTATTTGGTCACTTTCTGAGGTAATTTTGTTTGAAATTTTTTATTAGAATTATAATTTATTTTTGTTCAAGGATAGAATTTTACTATTTATTTTTTTTTAAATAATTTAGATACCTAACTATTAATTAAAATTCATTTTTAAAAAATTAATTTCAAATATTATTAATTTCTGAGTCATTGAATTTATTTTAAATAAAAATAAATATTTAAGAATTCGACAGATTTAAAAATGATGAAAATAATTATTCACAAGTGGGGTCAATTCCATTTTGGGCCATAACTGGGTGAAAAATTAACAATTAAAATTTTTTTTTATTCTGTTTGTTTTTATAGCGCATTTATGATGATAAATGTCGAGAAAAAAAATAAAAAAGAAAAAAAATTAAAGATTTCGATAGCTTTTTTGCCTTCAAAAGTTGGAAAAAATTTTGACTTATGTTTTTGGATAAAATTTTTATTTTATCTTTTTTTGATAGATTTTTTTTTTTAAAGTACATAAAAAAAAAAACGAACAATTTAAAAAAAGTTGAATATCACAATTTTCTAAAAAATTTATAAATCTTTTTGAAAATTTGTCAAAATTATGATCAACTTTTTTTTTTTTTCATTCATTTTTTTGTATTAAAAAAAAATATATCAATAAAATCAATTAGAAATTTCTTCCAAAAAAATGAAAATTAAAATGGTTGACTCCACTTGTGAATATTTACCTAATTTTCAATAATTTCTTTATTTTATTAAAAAATTTAATTTTTTTAAAAAACGAAAATTTCATCTTAAAAAAAAATTTTTTTTAATCTAATTTTTAAACCTCCAAAATAATTTATGCTAATAAATTTCTAATAAAAAATTTAATTTTTTAAAAAACGAAAATTCTATCCTAAAAAAATTTTTTAAATCAAATTATTAAAACTTCAAAAATGTTAATTTATGCCAATAAATTTCTAATTATTTCAGTCAGCGATGAAAGCAAAAACCTCAATCGCAACATTGACGATGCAAGACGACCCAGTATCAGTATCCGTAAAATTAAACAACCAGTCCCAAATAGTAATCCTAGCGACAAACAGAACCGGGCAGTGTCACCTATTTGTCTACCAACCAAACGGCCTCTTAACAAAACCATTAAAACCCACAGTTACCGTAATAATTACAACAGAAACAACCGACAAGGACGTCACACCAGTGCCAATCCTCTCTTCACAATTAACAGAAGACAACAAAATGCTCCTAGCCTTTGGAACCCTGGTGTCTCTGGCATTCGACCGTATTGTCCCTGATTTAACTGAAAAAATCCAGATGGTGGTGAGAAAAAACGTTAAATGGACTCAGGAAAAAAAAACTGAAGCATTAAGCAAAGTAAAGAATCTCGTGATTGACGGGGATGTAGAGTACGTAGCACCCGGTGCTCCTTTGGCCCTAAAGCGTTCAAGAGGTTCAACCGGGTCTCAGTTACCACTTCAAGACCGGCTTGAGACTTTAAGCCTAAATAATGAAGGAAATCTTTCTAAAACTCCGACAAAAGGTTACAATAAGACACAATTGCTGCTCCAAGGATTGAAGAGCAGGGACAGAAATATTTTGAACAGTGTTTTGTTAATGAGAGATGAGCAGGTAATTCAAAACACCGTTGTCAATTTGCCAGTACAAGCCTTGAAGCAGCTGATTGGAGAGCTAGTAGGAATGCTACAGGGGAAAACTTTTCCGAGTAAAATAGCTGTTTTGTGGATTAAAACTTTGACAATAACTCATGCAGCGCATCTGCTCTCGCTGCCCAACATTGACGACTTACTAAGTCCTGTTCTCGGCTTCATTGAAGATAAACTGACTATTTTACCCGAGTTATCCAGGCTAAGAGGTCGCGTCGCTCTTGTCACTGGTCAAATTTCGCATCTCAATAATAAAGAGTCAAATGATATTACCAATGAGTGTCTTTTTACTTATCAAGACCCAGGTTAATCTTTTTTTCATTATAAATTTATTTATTATATACTATCTTTTATTAGTCCGTGATTTATTGACTTGTTTTGGTTAATTTCAGACTCCGACGCTGAAGATGAAGATGATATCGACGGAATCGAGGCTGGATCCGACTCCGACGCAGAATGGGACGAAGTTTGTGATCAGGAAGATATGCAACAAGATATCGAAGAAAATGGAAGATCTGACTTGGATGATGATGACGCTTCTATTTGCAATTAAAATCTTTTTGTTAGATTAAATGTTTGTTGTATTTGACAAGATATTTCATAAGTTGTATATAAAATATCTGAAAGTATTTTTACATTAAATTTATTATATAAATTGTATCTAGTGTTTTTATCTTTTTTTTTTACATTTTCATCTATTATTTTATATTTACTTGTCAAATTTGTTTTATTTGTGACCATAAAAAATTAATTGCTAAATTTATTATATTGACAGATTTAAAATGTATTTTTAAAATTACGGCGTTGTGCCAATGGTTGAAAGATAAACATAAACATAAACACGACTAGAAAAATAGAAAATATTTATTTCAACCCATAATACTTTTAATTGTAAAAAAAAATTGGTTTTTTTTATTTATCGCTAAAAAAAAAAAAATTACGAAATTAATCACTCGGGTGTTATCGAAAAAATAAAAGAAGTATTATATAATGCGTTTTAAATATTTATCTTCAAAGACGGAAAAAAAATAATTTGCGCAAACCTAGATTAAAAATAAAAAAAATTAAATTATTTTTGTTTACCTAGACTATAATTTTAAATTATAAAAGTGTGCCAAAGTATTACTATAATAATAATAATTATTATTATTATTATTTCAGAAAAAAAAAATTACTCTGAATAAAAATAATTTTCATAAAAAATTTCTTAAACAAAATAAAATTTATTTAATGCCGTAAGATGGACGGCTGAGTCTGTGAGGTCCAACATAAAATTTATAAATTTTAGAAAATTAAAAATCAAGCTTCTCTTATTTTATTGAAAATTATAAATTTTACGCGTAAAAGAATTCAAGAAATTAAAATAAAATTATCAATTCATTTTTAGACATGTTATGGAAGAAAAAGAAGTTTTTTTTTCTACAATAGTTGGTGGTTAATTGATCACGCAACTTTTGAAGTATAAGATAAACTTTTGAAGATAAAGTTTTTAATTTTTATCTTCATGCCAAATAGTTTTAATACGAATATATTTAGCGTATTTGTATGATAAAAAACACGGGTGGATAAAAAGAAGTGATACAATGTAATCATTTTTAATAATAATAATAATACTACTCATTAAAGTAGGGAATTATTTTTTAATGCATACGTAACATGTTACTTCTATTAAAGAAAAAGAAAAAAAATTTAATATATGATACTGAAATCAGCAGACATCTGAGAATTTTTAATATTTTTTTAATAAATCAATTATTGTAAAAAAAAAATAGATTTTTGAAAATCTATACATTTTTTTTTAATTTTTGTGGAATTTTTAAATGAAATTTGTTTTATAATTATTTAATTTTTATAAGAATGTAAATTATTAAATGTCTATTTGAAAAAAAATTATGAGTAATATAGGGCATCACGACATTTTACCCACAGTAGAAATTTTCTCATCAAAAATGTTAGTAATAAATTGTATTTGTTGTTGATAACTATTTCTTATTGACTAGAAGCCATTGAATACATGAGTAATAATTGAAAATTTCAACTTCACAGAAGTTGTTAAAATGAAAATTTACCGACCTGAAAATTTTTAGTATTTTCATAACAATTAATCAATAATAAAGAAAATTGTTTTATATTAAAAAAATAAAAAAATTTTTTAATACAAATCATAAAAAAATTTTTTCTTAAATACTTTTTTTAATGAATCAGTTTTCATAAAAAAGTATTTTTAAAAAATGAAGCAATTATTAAAAAATTTTTTTTTTTAATTTATCTTCTTGTGGAATTTTTATATACCTAATTTGTTACAAAAATCAAAAAACTTTGCTGGTTTTATAGTCATTATAAATTCTCATATTTTTATTCAAAATAAAAATTAAGAAAAAAAAATTTTTTTTAAGAAAATAAATATTTGTTATATTCTATCTATTATAATTAAGTTAAAATTTTAAGTAACTAATCTTTTTAATTAACATTAGCATTACTCCCGACTTCTTTTTTCGAGTGTACATTATACCGAATATTAAAGCAAAAGTAATCAGCAAAAAAAGAGAAGTTAACAATAATTGGCAATCAAAGATTTGCGCAAGAGCGGATTAACATTGCTAAAACTTAAACATAAAATATAAAGAGATCATGGGTCATTGCGATTGAGCCTCATGAAGTTTGGTATAAAAGCCCGGGGAATGCAGCAGAGAAGCATCCTCCTTGCTTTGGTGGTTCAAGCAACAATATACCGAAGAGGAAAAGTACACGTACGGCAACGAAGATGATGAAGCTCTTGGTGTTGGCCATCTCGGCCTTTTGCCTCACCCAGGCAATGGTAATGGAGTCTCACACTGCTGACATGGACTTCCTCCACAAGCAGAAGAAAATCTACGACCTCTTCATGTACGTCGACCAGACTGATCTTCATGGAGCCGAATGGTACGAAACCGGCCGCAATTACGACATTTTCGCACATATCGAGGACTACCAAGACCAGGTACGATTCTAATAATTATTAAAATGTTTTAAAATAATTTTCTATTCTATTTACTAATTTTTGGCATTAATTTTCCAGATGATCGTCCGCGAATTCATGTACAGATTCAAGTTGGGTATGCTCAGCCGCAAATCCCTCTTCTCGGTCTACTACGAGGAACACCGTGAAGAACTTCGCGCCCTGTTCAAGCTCTTCTACACCGCTAAGGACTTTGAAACCTTCTACAAGACTGCCTGTTGGTGCCGCCACTACATCAACCACGGAATGTTCGTCACCGCTCTTACAACCGCTGTTATGTACCGTCCCGACTGCAAATACATCGTATTGCCACCTATGTACGAAGTCTACCCACACCTCTTCTTCGACAACGAATTCATCCAGGAAGCACACCGTTACTACATGAGCTACGGTAAGTTTTTTTTTTTTACTAAGTAAAAAAATTAATTTCAACTAAATTATTTCTATTTAAAATAAATTAAATTAAATACTTAAATTTCAACTAAATTATTTTTTTGTAAAAAATAGGCATGAAGAAAACCGGCGGTGAAGGTCACTTCTTCGACTACTACCTGATCGACAGAAACGCAACCAACCAATTCATGAAATACTACATGGACAAAGAATACCACCTGTCATACTTCACCGACGATGTAGGCCTCAACAACTACTACTACTACATTCGCAACCTCTTCCCCTTCTGGATCACCCTGAGCGACCTGGACATGCCAAAACACATCCGTGGAGAACTCTACTACTACGTCCACCAACAGCTGATGGCCCGCTACTACCTGGAACGTCTGAGCAACGGTATGGGTGAGATCGAAGACTTCGACTTCTACCAATCCTTCGCCCCCGGCTACTTCTCCAACCTCGTCTACGGAAACGGAGTCCCAATGCCCAGCCGCGACCGCTACAGCAAAACTCCCTACTACAAATACCCATTCGTAAACGAAGCCGAGAACATCGAGTCCCGCATCTTGGCCGCTATTGACAGCGGATTCATCTACGACTACGAAGGCAAGCAATACGGTCTCTACACCCCAGAAGGCTTCAACTACCTCGGCAACCTCATCGAAGGCAACTACGACTCCTGCAACACCCGTTTCTACGGCGCCATCGACGCTCTCTACCGCGACATCTTCGGCTTCAACTACGACTGCAAGCACAAGAACTGCTTCGTCCCCAGCGCTCTTCAAATCTACAGCACCAGTCTCCGCGACCCAGCTTTCTATCGCCTCTACAAGAGAATCCTCAGCTACTTCTTCAGATACAAATGCCACCTCCCATCCTACACCCGCTCAGAGCTTGAATTCCCAGGCATCATGATTGAAGACGTCAAGGTTGACAAACTTGTCACCTTTATGGAACCCTACGAATACTTCATCAACAACGCTGTCACTGTTGACACCTTCAAGGATGGCATGAGCTTCAACATCAAGGCCAAGAAATACCGTCTTAACTACAAACCCTTCACCTACCACATTGATGTTAAGAGCGACAAGAACACCAAGGGTATGGTTCGCATCTTCTTGGGACCATCCATGGACGAGTACTACTTCAAGGAACCTAACTACATGTACTACAACTGGTACAACTTTGTTGAGCTTGACAAATTCTTCTTTGACTGTAAGTATTCTTTTTTTTTTTTCGTAATTAAATGCATAGAAAAAAAAATTGTTCCTTTGATAACTAATTCAATATATTTAACGAGCAGCACAAAAATTTTTTTCAACAAAATGTTGCAAGTAAAATTTATAGATGAAAAAATACAAGCATTTTCTTGAGACACTGGCACTTAATGAATTTGTAAAATTTAAAATATTAAACAATGTCTCAAAAAAAAATTCTTCTTGCTCTAAAACAAGTCTTTAAAAAAATTTTCTTAACCAATTTAATTGATGATTTAATAAAATGATTTTTTGTTAAATTACAGTCAAGGTTGGCATGAACACAATCGAACGCTACAGCGCTGACTCAATGTACACTGCCAAGGACTTCATGGGATCCGACTACTTCTACAAGAAATTGTACAAATCCATTGAAGGAAGCGAACCATTCACCTACAGCGAGAAAGTCTACGGATTCCCCAACAACTTGTACCTTCCTAAGGGAGCCGTCGGCGGTATGCCATTCAAACTGTACGTGTTCATCTATCCATTCGAAGAGAGCAAGACCACCTTCTTCGACTTCCCGATGTTCGGCAAGATGATGTACGACGGCAAGCCATTTGGATTCCCATTGGACAAACCAATGAAACCATGGTTCTTCGATCTCAACAACATGTTCTTCAAGGACGTCTACATCCACTACGACAAGGATTACAGCGACTACCACTACTACCACAAATACGACAACATGTACTCAAAGCACATGGACTACATGAAGTACACTGATGGATACAAGCACATGGACAAATACATGTACAAAGACTTCCCAGCGGGATACGATTTCCCCAAGGACTATGAACACCACAAGGGATTTGAGTACCAAAAGGGATTTGAATACCCAAAGGGCTTTGAGTACCCAAAGGGCTTTGAATACCCAAAAGGCTTTGAACACCACAAAGGATTCGA